ATTTACGAAGCTTGCAATCCAGCTTTGCAAAATGAATGTATAGACGTGATCAAAGCATTTTAGTAATAAACAAATAAACAATTCAATTGTCAGTTTAATTAGACACACAATGCTTTATTTTTAGTAATAATAATCAATTCAATTGTCAATTAATTAAATGCACAGTGCTTTGTTTTTAGTAATAATAATCAATTCAGTTGTCAATTAATTAAGAAGTTATTGAATAATAAGTTCAATTGTAAATGCATAATTTCAAATCAATGATCAAACAAAAACAGGATATATGATAATAATAGTAAAAAATGTTTTTAGTAATAAACAAATAAATAAATAATTAAACACATAATGCTTTTTTAAATCAATGGTACAAATGATAATTCGTAAATTGTAAAAATGTTTTTTAGCATTTTTTTTATTAACATTAAAATTAGTTGATTTTGAAACATGATTTTATCTAAACCAACCATGTATTATGTTATTAAGAAATGTTCGAGTTTAGTTAGTAAATGAGTTTGTGGGAATTGAATTTTTGTATTCAACAAAAGAAAACTTAGATCCTTGGAAACAATTCATGAAACAAAGGAGAGGTCAAGACATGCAAAAATATATATAAAAAAAAAAAAGATTTTGTAATATATATTTATAAGTTTTTTTTGTGTGAGTCATTTTTGATTTAATGGCAGCGAATTTGACGTTTTACAACCGTGGTAACATTTCGTCAAACAACATTAGTTTGGAGCATCAAAATTAACACTGGATGCGAAGCACCTTAAAATCCTATCATGTATTCATGATCAATTGTGCAATTTTTAATAAAATAGACTATTTCTTGGCCAGATGATTGGGTAGTCTAATAAATTACCACAAAACATATAAATAAACCCGCTATCACCCAAAAATGCAAAAAATATTGGTTTTGCTTTTTACGTTGCATTCGAATTCAAGGGTCGAGTCACGTAGTGCCAAAATGGCGTTTATGTATGATTTGGCTTTACATGTTACACTCAAACGCGAGGTATCTATATATTTGTTCGGAGCATCAACATTAGCTAACCACATATTTTATTCGTTGCGTTGAGCAAAAAATCTATTTATTTATTTATTTAAAAAAATTACATATACAAGGGGAAATTGTTTACCGATTTAATAAACTAAATAAAAGATCTTTGCAAAGAAGAACCATCACATGAATCAAATGTTATTTATAAATTTGAAGATTTAGAAAAAAATAAAAATAAACTTACGATTTGAATACTTGTAAAAGTGAATAATAAAGATGATTTTTTGATGAGTCGGCCATTTATTTACCATTATCAAGCATTAAAAGATTGAACGGACCAACTTGTTGAGTTTACTATTCTTTTATTTTTGTAAAATCGCGTGTTTTGACCTTTTGATAGGTCTGATTACCGTGCCCAAAGCCTACCCGTATACATATGTAAACTCGATAAGTCGGTCATATGAGCCCCCACATGACCGACTTATCGAGTTTACATATGTATGAGATTTCGTACGCACAAATATATTAAATATGGAAATGATTATCGAAAATTTTCAGTAGTAAATTGTGGAAGGATGTAATTATAAATCTGCAGCTATTTATTATATTTATTTTAGGCGACTTTTGTTGAATACGCTCTATCGATATTATATTATGGTGTCATTTTACTTTAATTGTTTTAATTGTTTTTTCCATTCTTCATGTAAAAAAAAAAATATAAATTTCATAACACAAATGTATTAAATATGAAAGTAATCATCGAAAATCCAAATTCAACCTTACAAAAGTATCGACTAGTGAGAACTTGGAGGAGAATGAAATATCATTATCTTCAATGTAAATAGATGCTGTCTTCAACAATAAATGTATCAATTTATATTATCGATATAAACATAATAATAGGAGGATATTTGTAGTAAGCTTTTATATTAAATTTAGATGTAGGATTCTAAAGAATATAGAAATACTATAATTAATGGCTAAATGATTTTAATTAATACTTTCGTATATAAAAGTGATAATAAACACAAAGAATAAATTGGTTCATAAATCAACTTTATAGTGATATTTTGAAAACCGTGGAAATATAATTTATTTCCCTTTATTATCCATGCTACAAAGAATTGTTGCCATATATACATTATTAATTATTAAGATTTAAAAAATCACATTATTAAAATGACAATTAAAAATAGAAAATTTCTTTTGAATATCATCCAAAGAAAATTCGGACATACTTGATGGTTCTATGACGTGAGTTAAAATATTCATAGTAGCAAGATGTTGATTTTTTGTTATTAGAGCTTTTTGACGATAAAAATTAAGTTTAACTTGAATTTTAAATGATATTATTAAAGCATCTTGAGAAATAGAATCAGCCATTCCGATTTGAAGCAAAGTAGATGTTGGAGCCTCTGGAACTTTTTGGGAAAGACGAAGAGCACTCGCATTAGTTAGTAAAAATAGGTTGAGATAAAAGAAAAGGATGAAAGATGAGTATATTTTTTATTGTACAAAAAATAAATAAAATAAACTTTTTAAATCACGGGACGTTAGTCTCCATGGGACAAATCAGTTATGATAATTCCACAGCTACGCCGTAAAAATATTGATCGCCATGAAACAACATTATTTAAAAAAAAATTTATTAATTAATAATAATAAACATTATTAAATACGTTCCAACAGGTAACGCGCGCCAGATCCTATTCTTCAGTTGGTACATGGCTCTTCAGCAAGTCCTGGCCATCCCAGCAAGTCTTCTTCCACAGTGTCACCCAGAAAATAGCAGGTTAGTTTCCTCACTGGACACGTTTAATAAAAGGTAGGAAGTATATCTATACTTTGCAGAATCGAGGGTAGAGACAGTAAGGAGAAGCTTGTGAAAGCACTCTCCTTCAATAAGGAAATAAGGAGGTTGAAAATAAGATTCCTTGTCACGCGTGATAATAAAAAAACGACTGGTATATTTGTTAATAATTATAATATTATTATTAAAATATATTTCAACAGATAACGCGTGCCAAATCCTATATCAGTAAGTTGCCTCACTGAGGACACACTTGATAAAAGGTAGGATATCTATAATAAACAAACAATTGATATATTTGTTTTGTGTGAACATTCATTATTATCATTAAAATGATTATAAGGCAATAACATAACCATTAAATATATATATATTACACATATGTAGGAAACTGCTATTGGACAACCTGGGAACACTGAAAAACGATTTGAAACGCAAAATTTTATTGCGGTTCAAATATTACAATTATTCACATCTTCCTCGTGAAAAAGGCTAATCTGACCTGATCCCCCGATGATATAATAATGGGATTAAACTTCGGGGAGGGGTAACAACGCTCCGAAGTTTATTAATCACATTGTTTAAAGCTTCTTGCTTGTCTAAAGCCTTCCAACTTGTTCAATTGCCTCACCTGTAGAAAATTAAAATTCTATAGTTATTGAGGTTTGCAATCGCATGACGCTTGCTTGTTTGTGAAAGGAAATTTTTATTAAATCTGACACCCATATTCAGGGTTGGCGTTGGCTGTAATCCAAATTCACCACCACCATATGCTGACAATAATCCACACGTAATATTAAGTGTGGATCAACAACAGCATCACCATACAACCTTCACTCCAACCTCAACATCCCAATCTCAACCACCAACTCAATCAAATCCATCACCAATGCAACATCCATCATCAAGAACACCAAATCACAACACATTTTGAACATGTTCAATGCCAACCCTGTTTATAATAAACATCAGATTTATTCTTTGGAAATAATTTTTAAAAAAGCTCTACAATTTATGATTGTAGGCAATTGAAAAGCGCACACGCAAGAAAAGGGAACCAAGTAGAGAAAAAGGATTTGTTTATCCCCAAACTCTGCCAAATTCCTCGTCCTCCACCCGCCAGGAAGGACATCTTTATGTGGCTTTTTTCAAATCACTGCATGGTCTTGGTATTATCATTACTCGGGTGATGCATTTTTATGTTGTACCAAAAATGTATTTTTGATTCAACCAAGAGAAAAATATTTTATATAACATATTGAAAAAAATAAATTGAATACAGCAATGTATGTGCTGTATTTAATAATGGGCTTAGCAAAATCAGCGGGGAAAGAAGATCTTGTTGAACTTGACTCTGGTTGTTGACTAAACATATGGACTAAATGGTTTAGTCGGTTTAGCCAAGTGCTCATTTGAGTTACGAGATAAGTAGATTTTTTTAATTGTAAATATTTAATTTTATTTAAAAAGTATACTTTTGGAAAATTACAAAACTCTTATAATTAATAACTTTAATACTAAAAATTTGTCTAATTTGTCTCAAATAAAATTTAAAACAATTATTTGAATCTTTTTTTGAAAAAGAGAAACTTCAAGTGACACAAAAATGATTGCGTTGTGTATATAGAGTGGCTAACGTCAATGTTTATGTTATTTTTGGTATTGATATTGATGTTTATGTTAACGTAAAGTGCTTCCAGACTATGAATTAATTGGTTTCGGTATCCCTTCCATCCATTTGATTGCATAATAATTTATGTTTAAATAATTAGGTCACTGTTAAGTATTTCAGAATTTAATTAAATTTTAAGAAGTGGCTTCTAATTCAAGTGATGAAAATAAAGAATGTAATTAAAAAAAACCAAATAATAATAACTATATAGTACTGGGGGCGGGCAGATCAATACTATACGTATAGTGCGTATGTAATTGAAAATTAATCATATATACACACTTTCTCACGATATATATATTTTCAACTTATCATGACTTGCAAAAGTGCAATTTGGAGACATTTTAAACATATTGGTAATGTTAATGGTTATAAGCAATTTACATTTTGAATGTTTGTATTGCAAAAATCCAAAATATCAATGTGCCAGTTTAGTATCTAGATGTGAAAACCATTTACACGCCTTTGTCCAAATGCCACAATCCAAATTAAAATAAGTTATTTTGGAGAACATTTTGATGCTTCAAATACTAGCATACAGATACGTAATTGAACAATTAATGAAAATGCCATCGAAGAAACACATGAAAATTTTATTGAAGAAACTGACAATTTGAGTAAAGAATTATCAAATAAACGTGAAAGCAGTTTTGATTTTTATAATATTTATTTAATTCATTTAATATAATTAATGATTCAATTCTTTAGTATAAAAAGTGTAAGTTGAATAAATTAAATAAAGATTTGATTGCTGCAATTAGAGGCCTGCATGGATAATAATAATTGAACCCGTATCCAACACATACCCGCATGATATCAAAATTTTGTACCCGTATCTAAACCCGTTTCTCAAAATTTTATATCCAAACACAACCCATACCCAAAAAAAATTTCCAAATTTTAACCAAATCCAGAATATACCCATATCTTTTTTTTATTTAAAAAAATATAAAAAGTGCAATAATAAAAATTTTAAATTAAGAATTACTATTGAAAACACTACGTAAATCAAGAACACTATCAACTGTTTCTGGTCTTAAATTTGATCGGGTTTCATTTATTGTTAAACCAGCTGCACTGAACTCCCTTTCACTGGGTGCACTGGAGGCAGGAATTGATAAATAATAAGAACATAATATTGATAGTTTTGGATAATGATCTTGATGAGCTTTCCACCATTCTAAAATGTTTAAATCCAATTCCTTTTGTACTTTTGAAGACAAATATTTATCAATTTCATTTTCTTCAGTTTCATCATTATCTGAATCATAAAACTGACTAAAATCTGTTAAATCAACATTAGATTTTTTTTTTTAATAGGTCTTATTAGTGTTGGTTTCCAAAACTAGTGAGTTTTGCAACCATTCAAAAGTCAAAAGGTTTCGCCATAAGTCGAAACTAGTTTTGATTTTGGCTATTGACTTTTGACTTAGTTTTGACATATAACTTTTAATTTTAATTTTGACTTTCGCCTCTTCAAAATAGTTTTGGCAACCAACACTAGGTCTTATATCATCTCCACCACCACCATCATCATTATTTTTATCACTAGCAAGTCGAAATGAAAGAATCTCATACTGGTGTTTTATTTCATTTTTTACCCATTCAGCATCATAAGATTCCAAAATTTTCAACTGCTTCATCCGAGGATCAAAGAATGAAGCTAATTTATATAAACCATGAATTTTAATTCACGCGCGTGAAATAATAAAAATTTGGATACAAAATTCTGATTGGTTGATTTAAATTTCATTTCTAATTTTTAGAAATACAATAATATTTTCATATTCAGGTTGCATAAAACATCCGGGTTATTCGAACCCGCGCCCATTCATATCCAAACCCCTATCCAAACCCGTACCCAATAAAAATATACTACAGCCGTCCAAACCCGTACCGCAATTCGGGTATGATCCGGATAAAATTGCGAGGCCCGGCCTCTAGCTGCAATGTTCGTATTTATTGTAATAGCCAAATAATTTATCATCCAATCAAATTTCAAAACTACCCTACATACTATACACATTATACGCGTATTTGCTGTACTCTACAAATAACTAACTAAAAAAGAAACATGTCTTCCATTTTTTCATCTGCATGCTTCATCAAAACTTCAAAAATATGATTAGTTGAAGAGCTATCTATAAATTAAGCCCAGCTACATTCAGAAGGAAGTTTTTTAACGATTATAAAGTGGTCGACTTTGGAAAAGACACATTGATTCATTTTGTGAGTCGATATGTATACAAGAATAACATCGAATATACATGTAAATTAATAATAATTAGCAATTTTTAATTGAACTTTCGCAAAAAATGCTCAATGTGAGGTATAAGTTATTCAATAATGGAACCATTGGAATAGTCACAAAAATTTGTGACAATGAGGACGTCAAAGTGACCTTCCAGCATCAGCACAATCATTGTTCAGAAAAAAACATGTAATTACGAATTTGATAGTAAGAGAGCATCGAGAAAACAGTTCCTCCTCCAAAACGTTTTTGCCTTGACCATTTACACGACTAAGAATGGTTGACGAAATACTTTGCAGGGCGGAGGATTATTTCGTCAAACCGTTGTTAATTTCGTCGCATTTGACGAAATCTGACGAAATCTGACGTAATTGACGAAACTGAAATTGACCAATTAACCGACCAAATTTTCATAACCAATGATCAAAGGGCTAAATATTGGTTTTATATATATCAGTATACTGATGTTAACAAAAAAATGATTTAGATTCGGAACCTTTTGTCTTATCATCATGGTAAAGAATAATCACCATGGTAAATACCCAAAGTTACTCTACATATTGAATTGCTATATAAAATACCATGTATAATACAATTAATAAAATTATTAAAATCTTAGGTTCTCAAAAAATGTACTTTGAGCATATGCG